GCTATAGAGTGGCAAATATAGGGAAGCCTGGATGTGTTGTTTTAGAAGTCCAGAGGTCAATTATGTAAGAACCCTGTGAAATAAAGGGATGGAAGACAAAAATTATCCTGTTACCATCATGAACAAAGCCATTTGAGGAGAGTGATTTGCTGTCAGAATGAAGCACATAATCTGCCTTCATGTACAATGAAGTATCTCTCTGACAGTAAGAATAAGTAGGGAGGATCTGCATCCTTGGATGTGCATTAGAATCATCTGGGGACTCTAATACAGATGCCTGGATCCCATACCAGAGATTTTCATTTAATTAGGGATGGAGGTAATAGATGGGGCATATTTTTATAGAAACTGCGTAGGTGGTATGAATGTACAGACGGGTGAAAACCCTTAGTCTAGGGCCTCAGCAAATCTAGCACAGGATAATAGTTAAGTATGGAGATTTACAGAATGTGCCAAATTTCAAATCATTGAGTTTGCATTCCTCTAGTTAATGATGGCATAGCCTGGAAAAGAGGAAAAGTGGCAGATGGTTGGATGACATCACTTGTGTCCTACACCTACAACTTCTTTAATTCAAATGTGTTTGTGTGGCGGTTTGCATTCTTCAGGTTCTGAGACTACCAAAGCAGACAGATCTTTATAATATAATCAGTGACCAATAAAGAACTCAAATATTATTGCTGTATAATACTTTTATTCAACAGTTTTATGGGAAAAACCTCACATTTCTGTATATGTAACATCACATAATTTTCAGACATGTCAAAGGCCAGTGACAAATTACATTTGGGGAAAAACTTCAAAATCTGTTCTTGCATGCCAATCCCTTGTGGAATACCGAAAAGCAGCCCTGTACCTCAGCACTAAAGGTTACAAAAAGCACCCTTTAAAGGAGGACTCACATATTTAATTCTCTTCCAAATTATAGTCTTATTCCCCCTCTATGACAGAGCTGCATTCATTCAAAATGCTTCAGTGAAATTACAACAAGCATCCTTCAATTTATCAAAATTCAAACAAGTCTCATATATGGGGCCCAGTGTGGAGATTAGGACTAGTGGACATCAGTGAGCTTTGGCTGTTCTAAAACCACAACCTAGGTAAGGTAAGTGTTCTGTGGATGGGAACAGAAAAGAAGATGATCAAATACATAATATAATACTTATGGTAGGTAGGTATCCCTTGACCATTTAACTTGACTACAAAATCCACAGAGTGGCATTTCACAGCAATCTTACTGCGAAAGCACTGTGCTACAATGCAATTAGTTCAACTAATGTTGGAACTAATAAAAAATTTAATTTTTAATGAAACTTAATCACTTCAAAGCACAATAGAGAAAAGCAAATCAAGACAAAGTCCACATTTGAATTCTAGAGGGATTCCATTGCTAAGAATTGGATTTCATAAGTAACAGACTCTTGAGACTTCTCTTTCTTTCTTCTTATAGTTTAAAAAACAGAGTTGGCCTTTTTACTCCAGAAGTTTGGGTTCACTGCAGAAATAATAACCCTTCAACCTTCCACTGTGATGGGTGCTTAAGGAAAGACAAATGCCTAGGATCCAGAGTCTTCCTGACCCCTAGCCCTCCCAGGTGCTCTATTCCATGGGTAACTGGAGCTAGCAGTCCCTGGTAGAAGACAGCAAGGACTTGGTTTTATTGATGAGTCAGAATAACATGTGAACAAACTGTATATCTGCTTGTAAGCCTATGCCCCAAATCACTAGAACACGAGGACTCAAATCTCTGAGAACAGAATATTTTTCAAACACATATAACATAGACTATTGCATATCATTTTTAGTTGAGGTCAAAATTTTAAAAGCCCTATTTCCCCAATTAGAAGCAGGGGAATTCTATCATTAGTATGTCTCCTTCATTTATACCCAGATTAATATAAGCACACTCTGGAGGTAACACTTCTTTCCAAACTTAACTTCATTTTAGCAGCATACACGGAGTACTGACACTTTGCAAAAAAGGTTTTATCTCAGATCCATTAGGTCAATAAGAGACAAGAAATAATTGGAGGCCTGGGTTTGTATGATCCTCTCAGAATCTGCTCTTGGACTCTTCTTTTACAGGGTTTCTCTACCATATTAGCATTTAAAAAAAAAAAAAAAAGCCAACACACTTGAGGCCAGGTATGCTCATAGGGGGTTTTACCTACAGTGACCGAAAGCTTAATGCAAGCTAATCACCATGACCAGAACAGCAAGATGACTAATATTTGTTTTAGGTAATATTTGACCTGAGGCTCTGGTAATGTCAGCTTGACAAATGAAGGTAAAGCAGAATATAAAAGAAAGGGTAGAGAAAAGGAACAAGAGACAAAGGGATGTTTTATAGAGTAGGTTCTGTACGTTGAGATCCAAAGGATACCAGTATATTATGTCTCATTTAATTAACAACCACAACAAAAAGGCTATTTTTAGTTCTGAGTTACTTAAGCCTTTAATTTGTATCCTCCTCAGCTCAGCCACTCTTCCTTTTCCCCACAACCCCCAAACCATGATGCAGTTCTTGAAGGGTTAGCACTCCTAAAGAGTGATTTTCTAACTTTTCTAACTTTGACTCTGTGAAACTCCTAGAAGCGAAAAAAAACCCCCCCCCAAAAAAAACAACAAACAAAAACAGCCATGTTTTTTTAAAAGCTAAAAGTGGGTTTTTTTTTCTGCCTTTATTCATTTTCAAAATCTGCCAAGCTCTTCTACAGAAAACAACTATCCCTTTAACCAGCATAAAAGAATGAGTGGGTTGTACTCTGGGCTACCTTCTTCCTTCCCTCTCTCCCTTCTAGAACAGCTTCTTGGGGATAGCCTGTGTGTGACAGGCTTCTCAGGGCCATGGGGTGTATTAGCAGTGCAGAGAAGGAACGGGGCTGAAGGAGCTATCACCCAGTTCCCCGTGCCGGTCCTTTTCCATACCAGCCGGTCGGCTCTCAGTTCACATTTGGCTGGGATTACCTAAGAACGTAGGAAACGGACACTTTCTGCACATACCCAGATTAGGAAGATCTGAAGGCCACCAGCACCAAACTTAGTGTCACTGGAGCCAAAGCTAGTCCACAGAGGCTACTGGCCTGAGAAACTGAAGGAATCTCTTTTCTCTCTTTTCTTGCCCCACTCTACTGATACATCTGTGTAAAATTTTTAATACACAAACACATAGGTAATTACACTTCAATACTGTTGATAAGAAATAGTAGTGTAACAAAAAAATCCTCCAATAACAACCAAGAATTTGAATCCTCCTATGTGGCCCACTTATTTAATGGGTACCGGAAAAAAACAATAGTATAACTGAAGACAATGTAGAGCCTGAGAGTTGGTTATAATAGGATTTGGCCTGGATTTTTTAAGTGACACACCACTCAAAAAGTGGTTGGGACCATAAAAGGTTTCCCACAAAAGCCTTCTGCTGCAGAAGGGGGCCTTGAGTGGCTAAAGCAGTATTCACTCTCAGCAAGTAACCACCAAAGCACTTAGCAATTGGCATTCCCAGCAAAACCACCCCAATGCCCTACTGCCTCACTCCCAGGATCTGAGGTCTACATACCCAAAGACAACTGTGTCATCAGCTTTGAACAGGAAAGACAGGAGGTAGCTAACCTGACCTATGGGTGCCCTTTCAGTGTGGCTGGGCACATCCTAACAGTCAAGGCGTCTCTCAAGCATCACGTTTGGCCTCCTTCAGTGTTGAATGTTTTGACTTGCATTTATCCTTAATGGAAGAGCCACAGATACTTGGAAAAATATGTTTTATCTCTGAACCCCAAGAGTGGATTGGATAGCTCCTTTTCATTCCCACAATTGAGAATCATTGACCCCACTTCTTCACTGAACACTTTTAAAAAAGAGAGAAACAAAACGGTCCTGTTTGTACTTGGTGCAGGGAAGCAATACTATTCATGGTTAGGAACCCCAGGGGTATTTTCTTGCTTCTTGGCCTACTGAGTCTTTAAGTTGAAGGAACTTTTTAGGTGCACCCAATGAACCTGAATTTGTTTCTAGAACAGTATTTAGTGTAGTGATGTGCACAGGGTTGGCCACAAGGGCTAGAATACTTGTTGAAGAAAATCTTGGGAACCATTTATCAAGAGCTTAAAATTTTCCTATTCAGTCTCTTAAGAACAATGAAAAAGCATTTTTTAATTAAAGAATAATGTAGGCACATAAAAATCTCCCAAAGATGAAGGACATTAAAGTTTTCCCTGGTTCCACTCCTACCTTCAAAGCTGTCTGCTCTGCAAAAGAAAATACGGAAGGAGGGCCAGGCCAGGTGGGACAACCTATGGGAATATGCCGAGACAGCCTAAGCTGTGGCACTGAACACAAACGAGAAAGTAGACCTTCTGCACTCTGCCCTTCTTATAATGCTGAGACCTATTTTCTTTAGTAGAAGTGAAAACTAGTGGTAACAAAGTGGCCTGGGCCTGTGCTGGGCTGAAAATGAGACCTTCTGGCAGCCCCAGTCTTTGTTAGTGGGTCAGGTCCCACATAGCCTTTGAAAGGGTCACTTGCCAGTGAGTTCTGTGTTAGGGATGGGTCAGGTATAGGAACTGAAGGAGGTTACCAAAGCAAGAATGTGAAATGAGAAGAGAAAGGGTTCCTGTGGGGCATCTGGTATCATAAAAAGAACAGATTGTGCCACATACTCTAGGAATACAGAGAACCCATGCAAGAAAAGCTGCCCCTGCAGGGAGGCAACTGTAAGTAGGGCAGAAGTCTGGCACAAGCCCATCCCTTGGAGAGCCAAGGTAGCAGTGGTAGACTACCCAATAAGGATCCTGAGAGTTGGCTCTTCATCCATTTTAGGAAAAAAGCTTCCTGTAATGGTTCTTCCTGCAGCTCCCTCAAACTGGTCTTGGTGAGTCCCCACAGGCAGAGAACACATCTAGCTAGGAGGCTTCCATTAACCTTTCTCTCATATGTGTGTGTGTGCGTGCGTATATATATATATATATATATATATATGCACACACACATACACACACACATATATATATGTAAAATTTTTTTTCTTAAATTCCATGAACTCATAAAGCTCCCATCTGCAATCAAATGCAAAAGCAGAGCATCCTACTCAAAGACTCTGAAACACACATATCAGCCTCAAAGCAAATTAGCCTTCCAGTCTTAGGTTAAGACTGGTCCAATCCAGAAAGGCAAGGGAGATGCTTCTCTTAAATCCTGGGAGGCAGGAAGGGATCCCTTCAGATGGGCTTATACAGCAGAGTAGTGACATACTTCTTCTTGTAGCGATGGGTTGCGCTAAGGACCATCACACTGTCCTGCAAGGGAAAGAAACATGCAGCTAATTCATTAGTTCAGACGATAGGTGGCTCTTCCAGCCATCAGTCCTTCACAGTCCCTCACTTTTAACAGAGATAGTTGATATTATATAAACAGGCTGGTTCAATTCAACTGAAATTCCAATCCTGACTCCTACTGTTACTCTATTTGTGGCCTGAGTAATCTACTTGATGCCTCTAAGCCTTTTTTCTCATCATGACAAAGGATAATACCTACCCCATGAAGATGGTTCTGATGATTATATGAGAATATCTGAGACATGATAGGTGCTGAAGAAATAGTAGTTTCCTACCGTCTTACTCCTTTCCCCACCTCAAATGTGAATATTGGGTTTAAAACTAGCATGGAAAAAAAAATATCCTGACATTCTTTTTTTTTTTTTTTTTTTTAAAGGTTTTCTTTCTTTATTTGACAGAGAGAGAGACAGCAAGAGAGGGAACACAGCAGGGGGAGAGGGAGAAGCAGGCTTCCCGCTGAGCAGGGAGCCCGATGCGGGGCTTGATCCCAGGACCCTGGGAACATGACCTGAGCCGAAGGCAGACGCTTAACGACTGAGCCACCCAGGCGCCCCCTGACATTCATTTTTAGAAGGAAGTCTAAAATGCAGTGAGAAGAAAGGAGGGTGATTTTTTCCCCCCATTTCCAAGCCCCAAAGCAGGTCTAATTTAGATTTAATGTCAGGGATGAACTTAAAAAGTTCATTCTAATCAAGAGGAGACTCAGGAATCCCTCTCTATCCTTGAACAAAGTAGACCCCAAAATCTTCCTTGGAAAGACACTCAATCTAATGGATCAACTCCAAACAGCCTAAACAATCTGACAGAACCAGGAGTGGGTCAAGGCCAAGCTGAATTGCAGTAATCAAGACCCTGATCTGGGTTAGAACCAATATGACAAGGAAGAGGTACTCTTTCCCTGGTTGTGTTACAGCTCAAGGGTATGCCATAGGAGGAGATGGTAGGCCCATGAGCATCAGTTGATAGCCAAGGAGCAGTTACAGGAGACAAAATTCAGTCTGACCCAAAGACCCCAAGCAAATCCAACTGAGAAACCAGTGCATCTTCCCTTTTTCCCATATGCTGTGTTATCTACAATGAATGCTTCTCAGATTAACATTCTGTGACCAGAGTATGCTGATCATAGCCTAAATATGACAGAAGCTAGGAAGGTAAAAAATTCAGCGCCAGGAAGGGTTTGGTAGAAACGAGGAGCAGGTGAGAGAAAAATCTACTTGGGAAGACCTGGTGCTGTGATCTCTAGGAAATAACATGGAATGAGGACGGGAGGACCTCAGCCCTCTCTCTGGTACTTACTGGCATTATGACCTTCTCTGAGCCTTAGTTTCTTTATCTATAAAACAGGGGTTAAAATTAAATTGAATAATATATATTTAAAAAGTATGACATAATCTGTTAAAGATAGCTGTGTCAGTGATTTCCCTAATGTGGCTGCACATCTAGAAGCAGCTTAAAAAACAATTACTGGGGGTCCATCCTAGATGCACTTATTCAGAATCTCTGGGGATGGAGGCTTTGAAACTGTATTTTTACAAATTTCCCCAAGTGATTCTGATGATCAGCCTGGTGCGTAACTACAGAGCCATATAAAACTTCATTCCAATAGCCAAACCACAAAGACATGACAAGACTGAAAGGGTATTTTCAACCCAGACTCTAATGCAGCAGAGAAACTAAGGACTCTAGAATTGGAGGGGACAGAGCATATCTGGTCACATTTCTCCTTTACCTAGTGTAGTGGAGAGATGCAACCAGTGGGTGTATATGACCGAAGCACTCAAAAGCAGCTCCCATCCACCTTTAAAAAGCAAAATCCTTAATCACATTCAAGCATTCTCTGAACTAGAAGATAAACTTGCTTTGCCTGCAGATGAAATCCTAGTGCTGTGAACACCAATTCAATTAAGTAGGTGGTACAAAGGTTATAGCTATCCAAAAGAAACCAGGAAGCAGAAAAGTCATTTAATGACAGGCCAATTCAGCTAGCCAGAACATAGGAATAGGGACTAAGATTAAAAACAAACAAACAAAAAACCCACCTACTAGTTAAAAAAAAGAAAGTTCTTCTCCTATAATTTGATTGTTATGGCCAGCTTTAGCCTCATTGAGGTGGCAGGGCAAGAAACCACGTGTTACCCCTGCCCTCCCATTTTGGGGAAGAGCCAGGCCCGCCACTTACCTTAATGGATAATGCATAGAGATGGTTCAGCATAACGTGATTGGGCTCAGGAAGCAAGGCTGGGTCACACTAAGAAAGAAAAAAAAAATCACTAAATGGGGTTAAGTGCACAGTTTTCAACTGAACAGTTTACTCTTCCTTAGAGCTCTTTGGATCTGTTGAGAAATGCTAAACTAGAATGTGTATTTTTTCAAAATAATACACTCACCTTAGTATATAGCACTCTTTATGTTCTCATTACAGAGAATTAGGAAAATTCTGAGTCCAGGACAGAAACTCTAAGCCTTAGCATCTATTTATCTCCCTTAATAGAGCTAAAACAAAAATCTTGACCACAAACACATACAGAAGATTTGTGTTAAGAGGCAAAAATAATCTTGGTGGGAATCAGGTGAATTGACTAGAGACATAAATTATATGGGAAAAAAAAAAAACCAAGAACCCCTTATAGTCCTTTTGTATATCCCCAAATGATAAGTAGGTCTTATCTTGCGTTGGACTGAAGTCCCAGAAATTGGTTCTAGCAATCCATGGCTCTGGGTCTAATTTATTAGGACCAGAAGATAACTATGAATTTTGATATCAGTACCTAGAAAAGTAGTAACTCAGCCCTGGAAAAAGTTATCTGTAATGCTATTGATAGGTATATGATTTACATTCTCAACACAGCTTTGTAATAATCCCAACCTCTAGGATTACTAACTTTGGCTCAAATGGTCCTAGTAACACCCAGATGCCCCAGCAATTCTCTCAGGATACTCACAGAAATATTAGTGTCCTTGTTAAGAATAACTTGAAGAAGGTGAGGAGGTAGGATGGGTGGGGATTTGAATCTCTCCTCAGATCGAAACACATACATTTCTTGACCATAAGGCCCAGGGGGAGAGCTGGAAAGGTCTGGAAGAGATTTATCCAAATATAAGGGAAAGTTGGAGAGCTAGTAAAAGTTCATGAAAAAACTGTCAACAGATGGCAGCTAATATTAAATACGGTAGAAGTCATAGATCATAAACTTGTAACCTGCTAGGTCTACAACTGTAAGGCAAAAGAAAGAGTCTCAGTCATCCTGAACATGAACCCTGAAATTCCTCAACATGGCAACACGATGTGGGGGACAGACGCGGGGATGAGGAGTGGAAGACATAGGTACAGAGAAGAGCTACTCTATTTATCAGTTGTATGACCTGAACAAATCCTTCTATTATGGTCATTTTCTTCATTCATAAACTGAAAGATAATAATCTCTACCCTATTTCACAATGTTTTTATAGGAACGAAAGGAGGTAACAGATATGACAATGCCTTGTAAACTGTCAACTGATGCGAAAAAATTAGATTTTTTCTTTTTTCCACGCAAGCAATAGATAACAAGGTTATAAACTCTAAGACTGCTGATAGTACAATGATTGCAACAATGAGGACAAGATTACTAACGATGTAGTAGGTGTTAGGGAAATGTAAATCAAATACCACCTCACACTCATTAAGATGGCTATAATAAAAACACACACAATAATAATTGTTGGTGAGGATATGGAAAAATTTGAACTGTTGTACGATCCCCATAAAATGGTGCAGCAGCTTTGGAGAACAGTTGGGCAATTCTTCCAAAAGTTAAACTTTAAGTTGGCATATGACCCAGCAATTATACTCTTGGGAAATGAAAACATACGTCCAAAGACTTGAGCACAAATGTTCAGAACAACATTGTTTATAATAGACAAAAAGTGGAAATGATCCAAATGTCCATTGGCTAATGAATCCATACAATGGAATTTTATTCAGTCATAAAAAGGAGTGAAGTACTGAGCATATAACATGGATGAACCCTGGAAACATGCTAAGTGAAAGAAGCCAAACACCAAAGACCACATATTGTGTGATCCCATTTATACGAAAGGTCCAAAATAGGCAAATCCATACAGACACAAAGTAGATCAGGAAATTGGGTGAAAGAGGGAAGACAGAGATATCGAAAGTATGCTAGTCCTCTTTCTATATAATTATGATTCCATGTCTATTGTTCATCGGTTGCTTCTCCAGAATCATATAATGCAAAAATGTAGTTGCAAGTGGCCTCATCACTTAATTCAATATAATTAAACCCTTGTTAATCACTGCCCCATCAGTCAAGAAGAAGGTTCAGCTTTACTACCGGGCTTATATAATAAAAACTATTTTTATGATTTTCATAAACAGACAATTATTATACTATTGATTAGTCTTTTAGAAGCTACATAAGCCACCTTTGTGCCCTGAGATTCTAATATGCTCCACTTAAGGTTGTGTCTCCTCAGATGAGAATCACTGAGATTCTAAGCCTCTGATTTTAGTGATAGGGAACTGAGAACCAGAAAGGTTGAAGGACCTGTCCATGACTTCAAGGCTGGTGAGTAGCAGGGGCAAGCTTTGAACTCACAAGGGAAAAGTGTACTCACTGGGAACAGTGTGCACGATTCTTTAGACAGTTATAGCCTTTAATGTAATGTACTAAAATGGTAATTGTGAGCGTGGTTAGCAAATCACTCTTCTGATGTTGTAGCAAATGTGATAAAAGCCATGGAAAAAAGTAATATGGGAGAAACTAAAGGATACAGGTCTTTTCCTCTAACAAGGAACTTTTTCTTAACCAAAAACTTATAAAACTTCAGTTAACATACACACAAAAGAGTTGTGGGGGTTTTGTAACCCTTTCTCCCCAAAGACGGCCATAACTGGAAGGCCATATAAAAATGTAGAACTGCCAGCCAAGCTATCAAACTGGCAGGATTAAGCTAATGCAGGTCCAGCTAAACAAGGCAAACCAGACAGAACTAGTCTCGGCTGGGTGATACTGTCAAAAGATCAATGAAATATTACTAGAAATAGCTTTTTAAACTACAGGCTGTAGCCCATTAGTGGCTCATGAGAGAAAGCATAAAATAGAAAATAGAGTGTACCACATGTAACAAAGACACACATTCTGCCGAGACTTGTGTTACAGGTGCGTGTGTGTGAGTGTGTGAGAGAGGGAGAAAGAGAGGGAGAGGGAGAGAGATGGGGAGAGAGAGAATGGGTTACAAAGTAAAACAAATGTCTTGCTGTAGATCTTGGTTGAAAAGTTTGAAATCAAATACACTAGACTGAGATTTTTTTTCTCTCAGACAAGATCTAAATGTTTAGAGGACAAACATATATAGACAAAAATATATATATACTAATAAGTTATAATTTGTGTGTGTGTCTGTGTGTGTGTGTGTATATATATATATACATAAACACATATATGATTCAGAAGATTCCTGAGGAGAAAATGAAAAACAAAAACCACTCTTGGGAAGAAACAGGCATCATAAGAAAAACACATCAAGAAAAAGCAAATACTACAAAATTACCTCGACAAGATGTCTCCGAGCTTTCCATTGAATCTAGCTTTAAAGCATCAAACACCTCAAAGTCAGATTTCTTGACATGGATCAAATTGTTAATCGTGCCAAGCTGACTGGTAACCACAGGCTGAAATAATGAACGGAAAATATTCATATACCCTGTTTTAAATTCATCTCTTCCACCTAACTCTCCTATTTTAAAAAATGATCATACTTGGCACCTCCATCTTTAATCAAGAGAGAAATCCTCCAGTGTAGGAGCCCATCAATCCTGACAGCAATGACGTTGGACACCAAGGGGAATAATAGGCAAAAGGACAGTTAAATTAATGGTTACCCTTGGAGATCAAGGCCTTACCTCTGACGGATCATGAACCCACTGTCCATCCACAAAGAACTTGTACTGGTGCTCTCCCTCAGGGAGGTCTAAGATGGCAACAAAGTCATTATGGCTACAGAAGAAAACAGAAGGTTAAACAGGCCAAGTTCCTGTTAGAAGACAGAATGTAAATGTAAAAACCATGAAACATTCACAACATCATACCAGTGATCTCCCACATTCCTAAGCAATTGTCTCCCCTGGAATAAAAAATAATTTATAGACCCATTCCCCTTTTCTGTATCACCTTGAGCACATATTTGCCAGCCCCTCCCAATAACTTTAGTTCTTAATATCTGGAAAAGAATAATAGATGTTAATCCCCCAAAATGGTTCACCTTAGTACAGCTAATTTGCTTCAGTAGGAATAGGTTCCTTCACAAGTGTAAAGATAGCAGGTAGCTTCAGGATATAGAAGTGCCTCAAGTTACCCTTTCCATATTTTGGTGAGCATTTTCTGAAAAATGACCTACTTATAAAGGGCCATTCTGATTACCAAATAATTCATTATTGCTCTGCAAGCAACAACTCACATTACTACCTAGTACATCAGTTGTGTTTTGTCTTAGTGCAGAAGTCAAAACAAGTGGACTCAGCCAGTTACAGATGACTTCCCACAAGCATAGACAGGACTTGTGTTAACACAGTCCTAAAGAATGTACCCACAAAGCTGTATGATAAGTTCCTCTAAGGCAATGATATTCTAACTGGTTAAACATTTCTGACTCACTATGAGATTAAAAAAAAAAAAAACAGCCACAGATGTAGTCATTGGTCACAGAAAATGTTCTAGATAGAGTCCCTATCCGGTGGAGAGCAGTCCAGCCAGGTCTCTCCCCTGAGAAGGGAAATCAGGTCTCTACTCCTGGACCCTGTAGACTCAACCAAGACACTTGTCTTCACCTCTTAATCAGTGGAATCTTGGTGCTCCAATTGTTGAAGGACCCAGAGATGAAGACCTCCTTGCCTCCTTCAGACCAGCGGATAACAGTGGGCCGGGCCTGCTGTGTGGGCTTTACGGAGTCCTCCAAATCCTGCTGCCATGATACAAACTCTTTGTCCCCAGGGAGCTGTAAGAAGGATTAGGTCATCCCTAAATTGTGACCCAGGAATGCTTAAAAGGTCACTCTCCTCCCTAGGGCAGAGAGGGGTGCTAGGTTTCTGGTAAGGATCAATAAGCCTCGAAAATTAGCAACTGAATCAGATATTGAACAAACTATAGAAAAATAACACATCTAGGACCAAAATGGTCAAATGACTTATGCTCAAGCGTTGCCCAAATCACAGCCTAACTTTAGACTTTGCATATATCACTCACCCTTTCAGAGCCTTAAGATCTCCCTTTCAAAAAAAAGAGGTGTAGGGAAGCTTACTTACTACTCCCTGTTACCAGATTAACTCACAGGCAGGCAATTATGCTTCTGAGTACCTCTTAAGAGAAAAAAATGTGGAAAAAAAAGTATGCTTCCATAAAAAGCAATAAAGTTAGCCATGTATTCTTCACATGTAAATATGAACAGCTCTGAATTATCAGTTGTAATGCAAGTTAGAGATACTGAAATTCATAAATAATTCATAAACTTCATTTTGGCTAATAGGTTACAAAAGGACATTAAAAGTATAGAAAAATCATAGCATTGGTTTCTTAATTTTTGAGAAGTGGTTATGAAATCTTACTTGCTCACTTCTGCCAGGTATATACTAATTATTTCAGGAGTGGGGATGAAAATTCTGGGGCCTCAAGGAGCATCAGATCAAAAACACAGCTTCCTTTTACAAAAGCAGTTCCAATATCAAATGAGGTCTGTAGGATTATAAAAAAAAAAAAATTGACTTTTTACTTAGTTTATTTTCATTACTATCCTTTAGAACAAGAGTTGGCAGACTCTGGCCAGGGAGCCAAATGCTTTTATAAATAAACTTTTATTGGAAAATAGCCATGCTCATTCATTTACATATGATCTACAGCTGCTTTCATGCTAAGCAAAACTGAAGAGTTGTGACAGAGACTGTATAGTCCACAGGTCTAAAATATTTACTGTCTGGTCCCTTACAGAAAAAGTTTGCTGATCCCCACTTCAGAATTGTTTAAATGACTTTGGTAAATAGGTAAATAGGACTACTGTATCAAGTAAAAACATCACCAAATAATGTGGGTTAAAAAAAAGGATTAACTTATTCATTTGGGCTTTACTTTGAAAATGGCTAAGGTAGTCTACCTTCCATACAGTCTCTCAATATTCCTCAAAACTATACTATGAGACACCAGTAGCAGCATAAACTCAAGTAAACAGAGAAACAGAATTGAAGGGACTTTAACATTACATAAGGAAGTGTCTTAAGTGAAAACCTTTATCTCCTTATTCTTAAAGCAATGCACTCTTGCATGACTGGCTGCATTAGAATTACAGAAATTTTTACATATGCCTAACTCTCAGATTCTGATTTAGATATAGGACCTAGGAATCTGCTTTTAAAAAGTTTCACAGAGAATAATAATACTGTGGTTGTTAAAATAAACAAAGAAAAAAACCTCATCTTTACAGATACATCCTAAAATATTTACAGATAAAATAATATTTGATAGGATGTCTGGAATTTGTTTCAAAATAATTGCTGGGGGGGAGAGTGGATTGGGGTATAGAGGATATAAATTTGTTCACAATTTGATCATTGTTTAAACTGGGTGATGGGTATATAGGAGTTCATTACACTACTTTGTTCTTCCTACTCTGAAACATGGAAAATGTTTCCAAATTTCCATATAGTGTTTAAACAAATCTCAAGTGATTCTAATGTGCAAATAGGATTGAGAACCACTGAACTAGTCCACTGATGAGGATTGGCATTTGAAGCAATGTAGGCCCCACTGCCACTGTTTCTATGAGTTACTTTCATGATTTAGTATTTTCAGTTTAGAATTTGAGAGCTACAAACTATTAATATGCCTAGCTTTGGAAGAAAGCCCTTCCACATATGACATGACATTTCTGTGGCAGGCCTGAGTGCAGCTGACTAGCAGAAAGCCCATTTACTCCAAGTTAAATCATCAGCAAAATCATCAGGAAGAGGAGAAACAAGGAGAACTACAGTTTGAAAATGTTTAAGTAAAACACTGAAGGAAGAAGAGAGTAGATTAAGAAGTATAAAATTTTAGACATAGAATAGACCTTAGGAATTATCTGAAACAATTTTCTTATTCACAAATGACTGAGGTTAAGGAAAGAATGAACCAAAATAGGCTCCATTTCAGATGGAGCAACCTGGCTTTTATTCAGCACACCGATTATTGCAGTCACAGTTTGATAATACACTGTACTTAAATCCTGAGTCATCGATGTAGGAAAAGGGTAAAATTACGAGGTGGATCACCTTGAGAAAGCTTTGAAGAAGTAAATTCAAATGACTTGGTAGATGGCCCAAATGCTGAGGAAGAAGTTCTGAAGTGGGAGAAGGAAGGAAGGAATGGAGAAGAAACCCCAAGAAGTGGTTCTTTTAATCACCTTCAGTTCTTTTTCTGTAGTTATGTTCTCAATTGGGATTCAAGAAAATAAACAGTAGAATCCAAATTTCATGTGCCACCTATGGGGCAAATCAATCTTTACTCTCTAAAACCCCAATTTGGTGGAAGGTTTGAAGTGATAAGAAACTTCAAATACGCCAGAATCTCCTCAGTCCCCCCATTTTTCTACTTTATCCCACTCGCACTGCCTGGAGGGATTATTATATTTCGTGCTGACAGCTCTAAATGTGACTAGAAACATTCGGATGGTAATCACATTGCTGTTAGCTCCATCTAACACTTCTATGGGTGAACACAAGTTGCCACTTTTCTGAAAGTCCTTGGATTTGAGAGCAAGGTCTTCCAGGCAGCTGTGGGTTGTCCTTTTTTCAGCGATGGTAACATCATGAACTACTACTGGAAGTGGAGAAATCCTGGAAACATTTGCTCTCCCACTTGAGGATGTAGCTGGGCGTGAAAGAAGCACCTCAGCCACCACAATATAAAGTACGAAATGAAAATTGAGTAACCAAAGGAGGTCCTTTATTGACCCCCAAGACTAGGAGAAAGTATCAAATAAGCAAGTGGTTGCTGCTCACAATCATGCCAAAGGGGGAGAGGATCAGAAGCGCTGAGTTCTTAGAAGGGCAAAAATGATACTGATGCACAGAAATTGTCAGGAAAAAAACTCATTTACCCACCTCAGGGTAAATTTGAGAAACTGCCGCCGACGATCAGCAACTCAGGCAACCTACCGTCTTAAGTTTTCTACCAGGGTTTACAGCCTATAAACTTGTCAGTACTCTTAAAAGAGGGCACCTGCCTGTTAGGAAAATCAGGGATGGGGTGGGGGTGGGGGTCTACAGTCCCCATCGTAAAAATATGGCCAACAAATTAATCGAGAAACAAAAACTCCGCCCCTATCCTATTTTGAGGCAGCACCGCCGGAGTAATTAACCTCCAACATCTCCGTCCCCCCCAAATCCCTTTAAGTCAGAAAACCGTAACCTAGGTCAGTGTGATAAGAACCAGGAAAGGGAGGAGGAGCTCTGACCCCCAGCCTGCTGCAGCTGCGCCCATTGGGGGCGTGGGGACGCTCACCTTGGAGTCTGGCAAACTGAAGACGCTAGGGTCGTCCGTACTCCCCACCATGATCTTATGTTCCTTGCCCGGCGCATGGCCGCCGGCGCCCTCGGCGCGTGAAGACTTGGCGCCGTGGCGCTCGCCAGCCACCCGGTCGCTGGTGGTGTTTCCCATGGCCGCAGCTCCAGTCGGGGGCCACCTGCCGTGGGGAACAACACGGGACTAGGAACACCCCCGGGGCCGCGTCAGGGGCGCCCCCGGCTCCGCCCCTGCGCCTGGGGACCCGGGCAAGGGAATCCCCGCCCCAGGGAAGCCGTGCCCGGGGTCCTCTCCTTCCCCGGCCTCCAGGAGCGCCCGGAAACCCCCACACCCCTCTCGATACCCGCTGCTCAGGAAACCCACTTTCGGGAACACCCCGCATCCCCGCGCTCACTGCCCGGGGGCGTCCCCTACCCCAGTCACCTCCCGCGATGCTCTCCCTCCTCCCCTAGCCACTAGTGCGATGGCTGTTCTGCGGATAAGGCCACCAATAAAGTTATTGAAATTGAAGCCGCGCCCGGGGCTAGCGATCCGGGTTTCCTCCTAAAATGGCTACAAGGCCCCTGGCGCGAGACGGGCCCCACGCGCGTTCCCTACGGCCGCGCGGCGACGGCTCCCGGAGCTCGCTGGCCCCTCTAGCCGCCGTCGCCTCTATGGTGGGCTGCCTCCTTCGCCAGGCGGGGGCGCCAGCTCTGCAGTTAGCCTCGGGGAAACGCCCGCCGCGTGGCCGGGGACCAGGAATCGTTGGTGCGGTCAGCCCCAGGGCCTGTCTTCCGGAGGAGACGGTCGCTAGATGGTAATTAGGGCCACCTCCCTGGGTTCAGGTGCTCCGTACCCGGAGAAGCGGCGCTACTTTCTTCCCGGCCGCCTCACCTGGCATCAGGTTAGCCAAAACGTTTTCTCGGCAGCGTTTTTATGGGAGGCAACCCGGAGAGGTGGGTTCCTATAGGGAATTAAAAAACCGTACTTCCTACTGGAGTCAGAAGGAAGTAGTGGCAGTTGTTTTGAGGTTCAGCCTAACTGCTGCGGGGAGCCAGGGAAGAAGGGGTGATGAGGAGATAAACGTTGACAAATTAGTGAAACGTTAGTCTGAAGACGAGAAAGCTATTCTAGGCTAAGAAACAGCATATGCAATGAGCAACCCGAAAAGAAATACAGTTTGAGAGAGCAACAACAAAAACATCAGAAGGAACCCTGAAAGCAGAAAAGGACAAAGATTGTTCTCGGGTTGGGACAGATCTAGGTTTTTACTGATAATTGATGGAACGTAAATGGTTTTTACTAATTCTTACTTTGTATTATAATCATGTGCATGTCTAATTCCCAACTAGAAACCCTTATCACTCTGTGTTACACAGACCAGCCGCACTGGCATCACCTGAGGGCTTGTTAGAAGTGTAGCATCTGAGGCTCTATCCTACAGAAATCAGAATCTGCATTTTAACAAGATCCTCCGGGGAACGTGTATACATATTAAAGTGTGAGCAGCCCTGCTTTGACAGCTGGCAGAGAACAAATCTAGATTTGATTACTCTTCATATTCTGCATGCATCTTGTACCGAGTAAGCGTTTAATGAACATTTGCCCAATGAAGGGTACATGAATACTGTTTATTTCTAACGAGATAATACCACTTAAATAGCCAGTGATGGGGAACCCCAAGTGTACAAGGCCACCCTTTCTGAATGAGCAGCTCTATGTGCTGAAAAGTTTATTTTTAATTGAAAACCCATCCACTTGAGTTCGACATATCCACTTCTCTGCCTTTTGTCTTTCCTCTGCCCCAGTAAACTCAGTTATTCTCTGGCTCATAACCAAAGGCAGTTTGCAGAAAAAAGGTACATTTTTACTGCGACCTTTTGCTGGTCCCTCCAAAGTCTCCACTGCCTGGTTACCTCCTCTTTGGTCCCTACCCTTCCCCTCCCCGCCAGTTCCTTTCATTCTTTCCATGGGATTCTGAAGCAAGGCGTTGAAAGAGTAATACATTAAATTTTAACTTGTGTACTATTCAGCTTTCTAACCACAGGGTGGTTTCTCTATGCCAAATAATATGTCCCTGGTGTATACCTTACAATAGTCAGATCAGCCTAGGAGAAGTATACCAGGTATTACATTGGCCAATGGAAAACTTATTAAGAAATAAACTTTTTTTTTAAAGATCTTGTTTATTTATTTGACAGAGAGAGACACAGCGAGAGAGGGAACACAAGCAGGGGGAGGGTCAGAGGGAGAAGCAGGCTTCCCACTGAGCAGGGAGCCCGATGTGGGGCTCGGCTGGGATCATGACCTGAGCCGAAGGCAGACACTTAACGACTGAGCCACCCAGGCGCCCCAAGAAATAAACTTCTTGTAAAAGTAAATAATAGTGCTTTTTGGGTTATCTCCTTTAGGGGATTACCCATGACACTGTTTTGCTCTAATAGCATAAGTTAGTCAATAGTTAATATAAGTCAGCCTTGCATATTGCATATTCAGACACAGGAGAAAAGTAATTAACACTGTAGGATGGATTAATTGCTTCTTTCTAGTTCCAAGTTTGGTTGTTTGTCGCCACCCCAATGTTCTCTCTTTCCTTAACAGAGGGAAAGAAAAGTAGGTAATAGGTAATGTAATTGGTGGGGGTTCTCTTGACGTTACTGTGTCTCAGATGTCATTGCCGCTGATCTCAGATCAGCCATTCTGCCTGATAAACAGAGGAAAACAACAGAGAGCATGGGAAGCCTCATAGCACAGTAAGCTTTTATGTACACCGCTAAAGGTGTCCTTCTGAGAGGTGAAGATGGGAATGGGAGAAGAGTATATTGATTTTACAGAACTCGATGGCAGGTTAGATTGGGCATCTGGGGTTTTACATTCCCATCTCCCCTCCCATTTGTGGTCAGGGATGTGTAGGACAGGACATCTCATCTTGGTGATTTACATTTCAAAAAACAATCTGATACTTTTTTTTATAAAGTTAAATATTCACTTAACATGTAGTTTAATAATCCTACTCCTAGGTATTTATCCAGGTGAAATAAAGATGGGTTCACACAAAAACCTGTACACAAATGTTTATTTGTATTAAACATATGTGGCTTTATTCATATTTACCCCCAAATGGAAACAACAGAAATGTCCTTCACCTGGTGAATCAATGAACAAAATGTGGCATAGTTGTAAATGGAAAACTAGTCAGCAATAAAAAGGATTAAACTCTCTATACACACATGGATGAATTGCCGATGCATTATGGGGAGTGAAAGAAGCCAGATTCTATTTACATGACATTCTGGGAAAAGCAGAGTGTCAGAAACAGAACCATGCCTTCCAGGAGTTGAGGATGGGAGGGGAGGGGTTGACTACAAAGGAGCAGGAGGGAATTTGGGGTGGGGTACGGAACAGTTCTATATCTTGATTGTAGTGGCCAAAACTTACAGAACTGTATCTGCCAAAACTTACAGAACTATACAATTAAAAGAGTGACTTTTATTGTAAGAAAATTATACCTCAATAAGAAATAAAAATAATACTATTTTAAAAATCAGCTTTAGCAAGAGGAAAGATACAAGTTTATATACAAAAGAGACTACTCAATCGTTGTAGAAACCAATTATTTTTAAAAACAAATACCATTGATTTTATTTAAAAATTTTCCAGCTTTATTGCGGTATAATTGATAAAATTATATATATTTAAAGTGTACAACATGATGACTTGATATAAACATTGTGGAATGATTATCACAACCAAGTTTATTAACACACCTGTCAATCCACATAGTTACCTCTGTGTATGTGTGATGACAATGGTTAAAATTTGTCTCTTAGCAAATTTCAAGTATATAATATAGTTATTATTTACTATAGTCACCATGCTGTGCATTAGATACTTTTATTCATCTTATAACTGAAAGTTTATACCCTTAAAACAACATCTCCCCGTATTTTCCACCACCTAGTCCCTGGCAACTACCATTCTACCCTCTGATTCTCTGAGTTTGACTTTTTTTTTTTTAGATTCCATGTAGAAGTGAAATTGTATGGTATTTTTCTTTCTTTGACTTCTTTTGACTTTCTTTGACTTCCTTTCTCTGTCTTGACTTACTTCCTTTCTCTGTCTGATATTTCACTTAGCATAATACTCTCAGGGTCTATCTGTGATGTCACAAGTGGCAAGATTTCTTCTTTCTCATGGCTGAATAATGTTCCAATATATAACACATCATTTTATCCAGTCATCTGTAGACAGACACTTAGGTTGTTTCTGTATCTTGGCAATTGTAAATAATGCTGCAATGAATATGGGAATGCAGATACCTCTTTGAGATCCTGATTTTATTTCCTTTGGATATATACCCAGAAATGGGATTGCTGGATCCTATGGTAGTTCTAGTTTTAATTTTTTGAGGAATTTCCATACTGTTTTCCATAGTGGCTGTACCAATTTACAGTCCCACCAACAAAGTATGAGGATTCCTTTTTCTCCACATCCTTGCCAACACCTCTCTTGTCTTTTTTTTTTTTTTAACCCCTCTTGTCTTTTTGATGATAGCTGTTCTAACGGGTATGAGGTGATGATATCTCACTGCATTTCCCCATGATTAGTGATGTTGAGTGTTTCATGTAGCTGTTGGCCATTTGCATACCTTCTTTGGAGAAATGTCTATTCAGGTCTCTGTTACTGTTTCTAACAAGAAATGTTTATTTGGCCTTTATCCCATTTCTGGCACAGAGCTCTTAAAACCCTTGGAATTTCCTAAGTGATGAGCACACTAAAGTTGTCTCTTGTTATGTTAATGAGGGGACTTTTAGAAGGAGGGACCAACTCAGATGGTTAGGGGCTGGAATGTTTAGTCCCACTCCACTGACCTCCAGGGAGTAGAGAGGGTCTGGAGGTTGAATCAATTGACAGTGGCCAATGATTTAATCAATTATGCCTATGTAATGAAGCCTTCATAAAACCCAAAAAGGACAAGGTTTGGAGAGCTTCCAGGTTGGTAAACATGTGGAGATTCAGGGAGAGTGGTGAACTAGGAAAGGGCATGGAAGCTTCACGCCCTTTTCCCAGACCTTGCCCTATGCATCTCTTTGCTGTTCCTGAGTTATATCTTTTTTTTAAAAATCTTTTTATAGTAAATCAGGGATCTAGTGAATAAATGGGTTTTCCTGAGTTCTGTGAGCCACTCTAGCAAATTAATGGAACCCAAGGAGGATGTCCAGGAACCTCCAATCTATAACCTGTTGGTCAGAAGCCCAGGTGATGACTTGGACTTGTGATTGGTGTCTGAAGTATGTGTGTGTATGGGGGTTGGGGGCACTTCTGTAGGACTGAGCCCTTAAGCCGTGGAATCAGACACCATCTCCAGATACTTAATTTTACCAACTCAGAATTGAGTTGAATTTTAAGACACACAGCTAGTGTCCTGAGAATTGCTTGTTGGTATGGGGAGTTATTCCATGTTGGAATTAGTAACCAGAACACTT